TTCAAATAGTTTGCCCATTTCTCAGTTGGGTTAATTGTCTTTTTGGTATTGCCCTGTAAGAGTTTTTCATGATCTGAATATGAGACCCTTACCTGGTGTAGGAATTGCAAAATTTTCTCTCATTCCAAGTTTGTATTTCCACCTTCTTGATTATTTCTTTGAAGCTCAAAATATATTTATCTCATTCCCTCTGCTTGTTTTTGGATTAACTGGCTCTTCTTTTTTAGTTTCTTAAGGTGGAAGGTTAGGCTATTGATTTGAGATTTTTTTTTTTTTTTTTTTTAATATACAGGCTTGGTGAATGGGCCTATTCCTGGAAGACAGATCAAATCATGATGAATCTATTACGCAAGAAATTTGGAGAGAGATCCAAACCTATACTGCTGCCTCCAGTGGCTGTCAGGCTGCTGGTTTCCACAGCTACAACGGTTGCAAGGCTGGGTTATAGTACGGAGGAAATAGGGCAAGAAAAAACTCGCTATAAAACTCGCTATTCTCGCCAAGACTCCAACATTTTTGTTCTATAAACACTCCTTGGATTATTACGGGTCTTTTCCAGAATTCTGAAAAACTTTTCAATCCATTATGGATCTGTGGAGGTCCTTATCCTCCCATTCTCAAAGTGCTTGTCTAGTTTATTTTTGCTGCTATTTGTTTTAACATGTTATCACTTGTAGCTAAACTCCATGAACACTCTAGAAAATGTCCAAAACGCTGAAGACATCATTACTTTCAAAAGTCGTACTGCTTTTTAAATATTAAATTACGTGTCATTTTTCCATTCTTGTTTCACATATTTATCTAGCATTTATACAGATGTATTATCTCAATAGTCTGCCTATATTACCTTGTCTAGTTTACTTAGTATCTCTGTTCCCCAAGCTCCTCTTCTATAAAATGAGGATAATCGCCATACAATTTAGAGTTTAAAAAATATTATGCAAAGTAGTACTTATAAATTATTAAGAAAAGCAGATCAAAAAAATTATATAAAATATATGAATATTATTATTACAATCATTTAAAGAATTCCTCTTCCAATTTCCAGCCCCTCTAATTCTTTTACTCTTATTGTTTCATAAAACTTATTTCCTGAATTTATATTACATTTTCATTCTTTATCTTTCCTATATTCCATACTAGAAAATAAGTTCCAATGACAGTCACTAGCACATAGCGAAGACTTAATACAAGCTTGTTAAATAAATGAATTGTGTTTATGTTATTGTAGGAAATGGGAACCAGTTCTATGCATTTTTCTTTCCTAAGCATTTAGCACAAAACCATGTTGCATTTTTGCACGTGACGAAAGTATATAAAAAGATTTTTTTAAAAATAACTCTTCACTATTGGACAAAACTGCCAACTCTTCTGAAATATTCAACCCAGGAATTAGCCTAGAGGGGATGAACAAATGTGAGTTCTATTCTGTTTGTTTTTCCAATAAAGTCAAATAGGTTTTTTAAAAAATTATTAGATTTTAGATACTGAGTAACAGAATTATGTTCGACAACTTGAAAAGTGCTTCTTTATTAATTCAAAATATTCCAGTACCAGAAGTGGAGGAACTTATGCGTGTGGGGTTTCTATTTCTGGTGTCATCTACTATTGCACCTATTCTGACTGTTCAGGCAGGCATTTGCTGTAATTAGAGAACACCTGTCTGATCAGGTGTTAAATATTTCAAATATCGACCCTGCTTACAAATTTCACTGTTTAGAAATTAAGATTCAAAATGACAATGAGAAAAATAAACATCATGGCAAGCATCTCTGGCATTTTCGTGAGATTGAAGAGTTATTGCTGTCGCATTAATTTTCTCAAATCCTCACAGTCACCTCTTAGATAGGAAAAGGCAAGAAAGGAACTGGGTTCTCACAATGCAGAGAGACTGAGAGACTCTGGCCATCTTCCAGGTCATCATAAATCACAGGAAACACCTCAGCTGACCCGCCTTTAGGGCCAACAGGCATTCTTCAGAGCTAGATTTGCCTTTAAGGGAACCAGGGTGTTTATGGCAAGACTAAATATCTGATTACTTATATCATACGAATGCATTGTTTGAATTATGGTTAACATATATGGAAGAGATGCTCACTATGTTCTTTCATGAGATTTAGCTACTATGTCTTTATTATATGTTAAATGAAATTTAAACCACAATGAGAAATAAGTCTATGCAGGTTAAGAAAATGTTAAAAATTTAGTAATATAAAAATATTCTCAGTATTAAAAATAAATATTAAATTTTATTAAAATAAGAAGCTATGGTGTTTTTGAGATATAACTTCATGAAAGTTGGGAGTAAAATGAAATAAAATAGAAGAAAGAGAAGAGAAATAACACTGTAAAACTTTATGGACTTCAAGAAAACAGAGCACAGATGAAATAGATAATAAAGGAAAAAACCCTTACATCAATCATTTCATGGGAATATTTCAATGTTAATATAAAGGAATACAGTAATAAAATTCTGATCGTGACTCTAACTCTAGGTTAGCCACTCGATTGGATTCGCAAGCAAGCTCATGATTTCAGCTTACGAGAGCTTTAGGTTGCCAATCACAACGTCCCCTGCCCAGGCCATGAAATAAGGGATCCAAGGGATCATTCTTGAGATCATTTGAACGAAGTAAACTATATACCTGCATAGCACATAGGAATTGATTACTATATGGAAAGTATATTACATATATTATCTCTACTATAGAATATATGTAATCCTAATGTAGCAATCAGGATTTAGTACCACATTGGCTTGAACAGGAGAGATGTATGTGTGTTACTCAGTACTTCAAATCACACCGTTATTGTTCTCCCTGTTAAAACTTCATCATTTAAGGAGACTGAGTGAGCAATGGTAAGTCTAGGAAGCTGCCTCAAATAACGAAGCTCCAAAGACTGTGGGCAGAAATGAAACAGAAGGTGCAAACAGCTGTTGGAATTGCAGGCGAGAAGCGCAGCCTCGGCAGCGCGCTGGAAGTCAGCAGCTGGGTGACAAGGGGCTGCAGGGGGACACTTTAAAGAATGGCAGAGGGAGGGGGTGCATATGGAAATAAAGAAACGGGAAGGAAAGATACCTCGTAGGGCTTGTGTTTTTACATTGGATGAACGAAAACATTTATGAAGGTCAGACAGTTAATGAGTTGACTGCCTTGGGCGTGAAACAGACCTGAGCTGTCAGAATCAGATGCCTTAAAAACTCAAGAGAAGGCTTTTGACTCAAGGTAAATGTAAACACAGAGACTGCTAATTTTTTTTAAGTGTTTGAAAGTATGAGTTTAATATTAAATGCGAGTTACTGAAATGTGAGTTATTAAATGTGAAATGCCTTACTTAACATATAAATGATCAATTAAAGTTGATGTTTGCCAAGGAACGAAAATTTATAGTTTAAACTTAATCACCTGGGTTGTCGAGATACCATCAGAATACAATATCTGCTTCTAACGGTAATTTTAAAACCAGAGTTCACTGTTCCCATTCACTGCCCCTCGGTTCCTCTACCCTCCACTAAGGTAACAATTTTAAAAATACGTCTTTTCCCACTGCCCCTCTGGGGCTATGCCTAAGCATTTTTGTGCATGTGTATATGCACACATATCTGTATCTATAACTTCAGGCATTTAGGAAAATACGATATACATGGTTGCATTTTTATACACCTCTACAGCTCTATTTTTATTTGGCTGTCGTTAATAAGCTTCCACATCAGTGTATGTAGATCTACCTCATCCCCTTCAACCACTGACTAGGATGCCATCCATGGAGCAACTGTGTCGCCACGCATGTATTCCATCTCCTAGTGAAGGGCATTCAGGTTGTTTTCATATTTTTTACAATAAATCGAATTTCAGGGATTTGTGATAAAACAAAAATTTTAATTACTATCCTCAAGCTAATGGAAAAGCAATGTTGAATGTTCGTTCTTTCTTCCCTTTCAAAATCATTTATCCTCTGCAAAACTCCTAGGATTTAATTTTCCGGGTTTGATGTCGAATTTAATGAAACTAATTATGAGAGAGGGCCATTGGGGGAAATCTCTTGAAATATGTAAATCTTTTCAATAGACACATGTTTTCCAAAATTCCAATTAGATTTTAAATGCCATGATCCTGATGAACCAGTGGCATGATGGACCGAGAATGGGTTTGGCATTAAGGCTACAGTGTGTTTAAAATTCCACTCTAATCAGAAACACGCCACATAATACTCTGTGTCTTAGAGTCCTCGTCTATGAAGAATCATAATAATATCTACTTTCATTTATCACTGTGAGGAATAAAGAAGGAATATCCCTCATGCAAAGAATGTATTAAATAAACTTAGTTCCTCCTTTCTAACAGGTACTAGATAAATACCAAAAATGATGTTGCATTCTATTAGTTTAGGTGTGTGTGTGACTCTAGTGTGTTTACTTGTATGCTCCCCTATAAAAAAATTAAAATATAAAATACCGCTATTAAATTAATGTATCTAGTACATGTCCTTGGTAAAAGGACAAGAAATTACAATCAAGAAACTAAAATCTGTCTGGAGAGGTTTTTTTCCCCCAATATCTGATCAGTATGGAACCATCAAATACTCACTTTGACCACTTTCTGTCTTAACAATGGAAACCAATGCTAGATGGTTATTCAATGTGTGTATCAATGATCGCTTTTCAAAGTATGGTCCCCAGATGAGCAGCATTGCCTGGAATATTACTGGAAATAAAAATTAAGCTCCACCCCCAAACCTATCAAACCAGAAACTCTAGGTATTGAACACAGCAATGTTTCAGCGAGTCCTCTGGGTGACTCTGACGTGTGCAAACGCTAGTGTACATCTTTAAAACATAAGTACTAAAATGTGAAATGTCATTCATTCCACTACTTATAAACTTAGAAATGAAATATGTCTAAGCAGTGGATTTTTAACATGTCAAGTGAAATTGACTATTATAATGATAGTGACATGTATTTTATCTTCCCAAATGTCCCTCCAGATTAGTCGGTTACCTGTGCTGCCTTTCACCCAGGTTTCGGAAGTGACACTCTTGCTGAGTGCTTTTAGATCCTCGTCAGTTAGCTGGGAAGTTAAATCTGGAATTGTTTTCAGCATCTTCCATACCATTTTGTGTTCGTGCAGCGTCCTGCGCATGGGCCTTAAAAAAAATGCAAATTGAGAGACCATAGCATAAATACAAAGAAACAAATCAATCAAAACATTCTTGATTTTTGAGCGTTCAAATTTGTATTTCCTTTTCATTTAAGGGTTGCTTATGGACACCTGTGATGATATTTTATTTTGTCTTGGTAATCAACTTTAGAAACAGAATTTGTTCTTCCAACATTAAGCAGCATCTCCACGAAACTTCACATGTCAGGAAATGTACCTTCTTTTTATAGAACTCAGTGTGTTAACTGTAAGGTTATATTCTTGTTATTATCCTACTTGGAGTTCACTGAGCTTCTTGAATGAGTAGATGATGTTCTTCATCAAACTGGGACATTTGGGGCCATTCTTTCTTCATATATTCTCTGCCCCTTTTCTCTGTCCACTCCTTCTGTGATCTCTATTGATGTTATCTATGTGGTAGGATATCGTTGTCATACTTCAATTTTATAGGCTGTAGTCCCTATAGTGTGTGCCTACCTGTCTCTGCTATTTCACTTAGTGGCCATTTAATAATTGTTCAGAGATTTCTTTAAATGCCTGAACCAATACGTCTCTCAATTTTGCTAATGGGCTGGCTCTGTGTTGTCAACTCTTCTTTTAATTCATTAGACATTGTTTCCTTTATTTCTTTGGATCTATTTATAATAGTTGATTTAAAAATCTTTGTCTACTAGGAATCAACATTTGCATCCCTCAGGACATCGTTGGCTGTTGACTGCTTTTTCCCCCCTACATATGGGGCACACTTTGTTATTTCTTTGTTTGTCTTGTAATTTTTGTTGAAAAGTTAAATATTTTAGCTAATATAATGTGGCAACTCTGGAAGTAAGTTTCCCGCCTCGCAGGGAACAACAGTGCCCTGTGAACAGGGCCTTTGCAGAGAGCTGCCAGACAGGTGGCACTGTGGCAGCGCCCTGGGAGTGGAGCTTTGTGAGCAGCTCTTAGCCAGTCTGCCTACCCGGGGCTGCAAGGCTGCTGGCTTCAGCACTGCCACAGAACCTGAGACAGGAAGATTAAAACAGGTCAGAGCGAAAAGCCACAAATCCTACTCTTCTCCCAAGGTTCCACCATTTTTCTTGAATCGATTCCTCCTCATACTGTTGCAAGCATTCGATTAATTTTTCAGAGTTCTGTAAATAATTATTTTGACAATGTTTTGCCAGAATTTCATTGTGTTTATGAAGAAGTAGATACACAGAGACCCTCACCCTGCCATTCTAGAGGTCCTGCACGCCACACAGAATCCTAAATCGTCTGATCTGCATCAACGCCCATAAGTCCTCCCATAGCTCAAGGTCAACATGTTTCAAGCCCCCAGCGAAAAGGGGTTAGGAAAGTGCATGTGACCACTGGCAGTGAGACAATCCAAAATATTCGGTAAAAACACTACTAACATAAGAGATTAGAAGAGATGATGTTTAAAGCCAGGAAGTCATTCAAAAATTATAGCTCTTTGTCATTTTGATAAATGAATGGGCTTGTAATTTACACATTTGGACTAAACATGAAAAACATTATTTCCTACAATTACCATCATTGCTCTGGAAACCCTATTCCTAATAAATTCCTGTTTCTCGACTTCCTATTGCCTCTCCTACGTGGGCATGGAACGCTGCAGTGGGACTGTGAAGCAGCCAACGGGGCGGTGCCTCGCCCGCCTAACCTGCTCTCAGCACCATTCCTAGCTTGCTCGAGCTGCCCATCTGGTACCCATCTTCAGGGTTTCCCACGCTCCACCCTGACCCACGGCTAGCACGTTCCACAGTGCTGAAATTCACCCAAAACTTTTCTGTGGATCCCAGCACACGCTCCAGAAAGTCAGCCCTTACTTCCTCTCTTCAAACGTGGCCTTCCTTCACCTCTCTCTCGATCTCAACCTTTATTATTTGGCAGGAATCCCCTTTACATCGTGTCTACTCCTTCCTTGGCGCATCTTTCTGGCCTACTCTTAAGATATAAAAGCTGCTATGAAAGAAATTAGATTGACAAAAAGACACCTTCCTATTCATTTGTAGTCAAACAGGAAGAAAAAAAAACAGCAGTGGCTACGAGTGCCAGAAAGACTTCATTCAGAAGGAAGTGCCGAAAGGCCCATGAAGGTTTCCTCAATGATTTATAAACACCTAAGAAAGTATCTCGAGGTCCAGTCATGAAACAATCAATTTTTCATTCGAAGTGAAGATATCTAGGAATAGACCTGATTCATATATTCGAAGAGCTCTCAAATTAAAGAGGGATTAAGATTATTTTGTCTAACAATTTGAGAAGTTATAAAGAGGTCATTTTTTTTTCTAATTAAAAAGTATAATTAAAATATTAAAAACAATAAAAGAGATCCCTGGGGGGACACATACAAAATTCAAATGTTAGCTCCCTATCAAAATCCTCCTGCTGTTTGAGTTCATACTTCCTTTTAATATTGGTTAAAAATAACCAATCGAACAGAATCCACACGAGACTCAGTCCCAGGTACTGAGAAAAACTTGATAACTCCCTAATAACTCAGAATTTGGAAGGACTTTGTTTCTCCCACTTGTTTCTTATTGATTTCTTATTTCTACTGGGTGCTCAATCTCTGATCTAGAAGGCAGAATTTGTTGTCAGTTTTACTTTGTTTTCTTTTAAATAATGTCTTATTCCTACACATGAAATTCAGATCAGATAGAGAATAGATCACCCACTTGTTTTCAGTCTTTAATATTTTCACAAATGCTACCATGTGATTCTTCATACAAGGAAGGATTGGACAAGAGCAGTGGTGTTTGAATAGACGCATAAACAGTCACAGAGCACTTCGCTCAGACTAAGTCTTATGCAGAGTGTACATGACGTCAGTGGATGCAGAACTAAGCTAGTTTAAGGAGGACAGAATGGGAAGATCGGTCAGTTTGCACACTAAACCTGCTCTTCCCCTACAAGTCCGCTGAATGAGCCGTGAGGAATCCATAGGGCTGATACAAAATCACAAGAAATCCAAGGTTCTTTTCAACATAAACATTCTAGTAATTAGTTAGGTTTCTACCATATTTTACATTCTTTATATTATCATAGGATTACAAGAAACTACAAGAATTGAAAGCAGAAACTCAGATATTCATACACAAATGTTTATAGCAAAAACATTTCTAATTAGCAGCATTATTTCCAATATCCAAAGGTGGAAATAAACCAAACTGACCTTCAGATGAATGATAATCAACATTTGGTGTGTACATATACTCAGTGGAATATATTACAGAATGAAAAAGAATGTATTAATGACTCATTCACCAACATAGATAAATCTCAAAAATCTTATGCTGAGCAAAAGACAGAAACAAGGTACCTACTGTGAGGTTTTATTTATTAGAATTTTGAGAAGAGGAAAAACTGCTATTTGGTGCTATAAATGAGGATGGTGGGGGATGGGAAAGGACTGGGATGAGGCATGTGAGAAATTTTGTATGTCAATATCCATGGCACCATTATTCACAACAGTCAATAGCCACAAGTGGAAGCAACTCAAATGTACATCTTTTGATGAATGGATAATCAAAATTTGGTATACAAATGCAATAGAATATTATTCTGCTTTAAAAATGAGTGAAATTCTGATACCTGCTACAATATAAATGAACACTGAGAACATTCTCAGTGAAATAAGGCATCTGCAAAAGGACGAATATTGTATGATTCCAGTTAGGTGAAGTACCAAGAAGAGTCAAATTCATAGACACAGAAACCAGAAGAGTGGTTCCCAGGGGCTGGGGGGAGAGGGAAATGAGAAGTAATGATTTTTTAATTAAATTTACTGGGGTTGACATTGGTTAAAATTATATGTTTCAAATGTACAATTCAATACTACATCATCTGTATATTGCATTGTGTGTTCAGCACCCAAAGTGAGTATGTTTTTTCAGTTTGGGATGATGAGAAAGATCTCAGAATTGACAGTGGTTATGCTTGCACAACATTGTCAATGTACTTGATATTGCTGAACTATTACATTTTAAATGGTTAAACAATAAATTATATATTATGCATAATTTACCAAAGTTAAAATAATTTATCAAGCACTTGTTATACCCTTGATCATATGTTGCATTGGGCACTGGATCCAAAGAGAGCATAGTCTTTTTGGTAAAATGGAAATATATGCCTCTATTATAACAAAAAAAAGGAAGGAAGGAAGGGAAAAAAAGGAAGGAAGGGGAGGAAGGAAGGAAGGAGGGAGGGGAGAGAGGAAAGAAAGAGAGAGAGAGAGAGAGAGAGAGAGGGGGTGAGAGAGAGAGAGAGAGAGAGAAAGAAAAGAAAGAAAGAAAGAAAGAAAGAAAGAAAGAAAGAAAGAAAGAAAGAAAGAAAGAAAGAAAGAAAGAAAGAAAATTGCATTTTCTAATCCAATCTCCTTTTAAAATGAGAGCTGAGGCTTAGATATGTTAAGTAACTTGCCTAAGTTTATGAGAATAATAAATTATTAGGCCAGGATTTTACCCCGTACAGTGACACATCAGAGCACAGGTTACCGTCCACTTAGTCACTACACTAAGTCGCATCTTCACTACAGTGATTTCATTTATTTTGAATTATGGGGATCACTGAGTTAGAGCAGGAACTATTCCGGGTTTTGTTAGGTCTGACACATAAAACAAACAAAAAAAGAATACAAATCTATCAATTATAAAGTGAGTAGAAATGTGAATGTTTAGAAAGACAAGAAAGTACAATGAATCACAAATTCCTAAAAGCTGAATAATTTGAAAACATCACAAAATCCAGAAAAATATTATAGTATCTCTATTAATTAGTTCCCTATGTACCTCTATTATATTTCTAATTTTTTTTTTACTGCTTTCTTACAGATTCTTACAGTTTAAGCTTCATTGCCTTCAAGGTAAATTTGCCTCTGAGTTAAGATCTAGTTATTAAGCAAAAGAAACAATAAGAAGAAAATAGAATCAGCTATCAGCCTGGATTTGAATCTGACAAGAGGTATTTAAAAAAAAAAAA